GAGAGCTGTTTTTTATACCCAAACTACTCTTCACGATCTGAGTGACTGCTTCATTTCTTTGGAATTTCTTAATTACACTAATAGAGTATATTGGTGAGCATTCACAGCACGTGGTGATGGGGTTCATAGGCTTTTCATATGTGCCACACACGTTGGCTGTATTCGATGAATTTACCTTCCCATTCCTATCCCCCTGCCGTTCTCATTTATTCCCCGAGAAAGCTTCTCTTCCACCTTCCTGTTCCGTACCCACCCGTCTATGAATCATGGATCTCCATAAAACCCAGGATCCTCAAATGAGGAAAACCATGCGCTGTTTGCCTTTCTGAGTCAGAGTCATTCCATTTAACGGGATAATCTCCAGCTGCATCAGTTTCTCCTGAAAATGACATCATTCTTTATGGCTAAATAAACTTCCACCGTGCACACACACACCGTATTTTCCTTATCAATTGGTTGGTAGGTGTCTTAGTTACTTTTCCGATGCTGTGACCAAGGCCTTTACCGTTTCAGAGGGTTAGAGTCTGTGACCACGATGGTCAGGGGTATGACGGGCACGGTCCTGGAGCAGTGGTTAAGAGCTGGTGTGTTGAGACCGTGACCGTGAGGCAGAGGGAGAGAAAGAGAGGAGAGAGATGGGGAGAGAGAGAGGGAGAAGGAGGGAGAGAGGGAGGGGGAGAGAGGGAGAGAAGAGAGAGGGGGCTGGAGGGAGAGGGAGGGGAGGGAGGGAGGGAAGGAGGGAGACAGAGGAGGAAGGAGGGAGAGAGATGCAAACACTGCAACTATGGAGGTCTCTCAGTGGTGTCCTGACTTGGAGTCCATTTACCGGGAGTGGCATAGCTGGTATTTCTCTAGAATTTCTTATCTGTCCAAACTTAATCTTTAAATGATTCATAAGGGACAAAATGCGGTCATTTACAAACACAACTTTTTTTTTCCCCCTCACACCTTACCATTCTGTGGTTAAACATTGTCAACCTTGTGAAAAGCACTAAACTACTGGTCATTTTCTTTTTTAATACCTCAACTTCCTTGGGTGTCTACAGGATGACAACTCTTCATTGCACTTCAGAGGCTGCTGAAGAATACAAAAGACAGGGAGGGAGGGAGGAAGGGAGGGAGGGAGGGAGGGAGGGAGACTGAGAAAAAGAAGGCAGTTAATATGCTCCGAGACGTTATCATTTGGCTAGAAAGATGAAAACTTGACTGTCTTCATCATCCTCCCATCACACGGCCCATGAATGCTTGTCTGGGGGAGTGCCACCCCGAACACTTCATGCACTCTTATCGATTCCGTGCTCCCGATGACTTTTTGGGGGGTACCCATCAGAGCCTGGTTTACAGATGAGAAGACTGACCTCCAATGGTGGCCCCCCAGGCTCGGCAGTAGCGGAGACATAGCTGCGCACCGAGGTTTGCTCAACTTCTGAGCAGGTGGCTCTCCCGTGGCTGCTCATTGCCCCCACGGCAGAGATTCAAAGCCAAACGCAGTGGCTAATCTCGCCGGCTAAATGAGCAGAGGCAGAAACAGTCATCGAGGAGTAGACTCCATCGGGGGCTGCTGCTGCTGTTTATTGGGCTTGACTGTGAATTGTGCATAGTTCTCACGCTCATAATGAGGTCTGTGTGGGAGCAGACGGTAGACACGCAAGTATCTGGAAACCGTGCAGTGCATGGATTGTTACTACATTGTTACAGATGAACTAGAACAGCGGTCTTGGGGCGGTGGAGGGGGGGTGGAGGGATGGGGAAGGGGTGGGGGAGTGTCCCTTTCACAGGGGATGCTTATTAAATATCCTACATATCAGATATTTATATAACATTCCATAACAGCAGCAAAATTACAGTTATGGAGTGGCGAGGAAAATAGTTTTATGGCTGGGGTCACCACAGTATGAGGAACTGCATTATTAAAAGGTCACAGCATTAGGCTGGTTGAGAACCTCTGTGTTAGAGAATAGTGCTGACCATATTGAGTCTTCCTACGGGGCCAGGTAGAGATTATGGAACACATTAAACGTGATCACATTATTTACTTCATTCTCCATTTCTGGCTGCCTCCCAGGTAGAAGTAGAAATGGATGCCTGGTCACCCTGACGTCTTATGGGACATCATGGGTGTAGCCTTCCACATGTGTTCCTTTCTAAGAAGCTGGCAAGCCGTGCTGAGGCTTCTGGTTCCGGATCTCTCTTTGAGATCACCTGGCCGTTACTCCTTACCAAGAAGAGCCTCTCCCCCATTGGCTTTAGATCTGACTTCACAGTAAGAAATAGATTTGAGCATGAGCTTATTGCAGATGACTAATCAAGCTTCCTGAAATGCCTATCGGCACCACAGCAGACGTGCCTTGGTTCTTTTCTTTGTAAGAAAATGCTGGCCCACAGAGATTGACTTGTAGTATTGGAAGATGATGTTGGTAAGTGAAAATCAGTTTAAAAGTGAGAAAACCCACAACTTGGGCACTAGATAATAATGCAAAAACAAGTTGTATTTCTTTCTCTTTTCCTGTTGCAGGAGAAAGGCATGCTGCTTCCTGCTTTGAAACAAGCAAAGACACAGTAAGACCTTAGCTGCTGAGGGTGAAATGGGGCATCTCTTTGTCTACAGCAATAATGTCTTTTGGGTTCTGGGATGAGTACCATTCCACAGGCCAGGCTGCAAAAGCAAGGCAGGAAATTAGGCACCTGCCTGATCCAGGATGAAGAGAATGTGGGATGCCTAAGGGACCCGGGGAACTCATGGGTCACGCATAGGCACATGTGTCACGTGTACAAGCATGGCTAATTCTCCACCTTGCTTTATCTCTTCAGAGACATTTTCAAGGCTGCCCTTTCCAGAGGACCAGTGGCTTCCAAGATTTGACTTTGAAACACCAGTTCTTGACTGGGGTCTTGCCTGCCTTGCAAACAATGCTGGCTAATAGGTTATGTTCCCCAAGAGTTAATACGTTAGAAACATAACCCCTCCCAATGCACTAGAGGTGGGAAGTTTAGGAGGCGATTAATGGATCAATGACATTACTGGAGGCAGGATCCCACTATGTAGCCCTGGCTGTCTGACGGTAAGGCCTTCAAACTGTGGGAAGGGAGATCCAGGTTTGAGACCAGTAGTTGGAACCCTCAGAAGCCATGTTCAGTCTCCTTGCCCTGCAAAGGCTGATGTCTGCACCTCCAGGGGCAGTGACGTGCACTAAACGGTGCAAGACAACATGGAAGGTATGGTTTGTATTTAAAAACAGGAAGAGGCAAAAACACTTTGGGAACTAATACACACTTTTAACCTGTCTGATTTGGCAGATGCAATTTTCATCCACACCTTAATCCTCCTCCTTTCCCTTCCCCTCCCCTTCCCTTCTTCCTTCTCTGTTGCTTCATTTTTGGTGAGCAGTTAGAGCCTGAATCCAGGCAAGTGTTCTGCCCCTGAACCACCCCTCAGAACTCTGTAATTGGTTCATTAAGATGAGCACGGCAGACAAGATCTGAAATTTTTTTTCTTAAGACACAATTTTATTTCTAGTTACTTCACTTTACTCAATATGTTTAATATGCTGGCCCTTGTGGATCTCAAACTGCAGGTACTAATGCACTGGTGCTCATCATCGTTTAACATAGTGTATCGATTCTTTGGGAATTTCACATCATGCATCCCAATTCCACTCATTCCCCAGTCTTTCCATGTCTGCCTTCCCTTCGTAGCCTCCCCAGCCCCAAATACAACACAATAAAACGAAACACCACCACCAAAGATAATTCATTCCACTCCTTCATATTTCCAGCCTCTCCCTTGTACATTCTCTCGTCGCTAGTGGTCTCAGGCGCTGTGGTGTGTCACGAAGTATACCCTTTCCCCCAAACAGCTATACTTGCAAATGTTCATTGCAATGAGATGCTGGACTGGTTCAAGGCCTCTGGCTTCTTCTACACCATCAGTCCTGGACCCCTCCCCCCCAACGGATATCCTGCTGGGTTTTGGGGGTTTTTTTTGCAAACCTCACAAGAAACACACACAACACCCCCACTCCCACAAAACCACAAAAAGGGAAATAAAAAGTAACAATTGAAAAAAAAATAAAACAAGCCCAAACAAATCGCCGTGTCACAAAAAGTCTACACAGATACCGCTGAGTTAATTTCTCGTTGGCCAACTTCTCCTGAGCACGGGGACTGCCCCAAAGTGTGGTTAATACACCCAGTGAGACTCCCTCCATTGGTGAGAACTGGGTTTTCCCTTCCAGTGGGTATCGTTTGCAGATAGGGGTGGGAGTCCGTGTCTACTTCCTCTTAGTGCTGGGACCTTGTCTGTGTGCTTGGCTATGTGCAGGCCTCGTGCTAAAGTGCCTGTGATTTTATATGGGCCTCTGTCAGTCCTGCTGTACCTGAAAGACATTGTTTCCTTGGGGCCACCCATCTTCCGTAAATCCCCAAGCCTTGAGGGGAGGGGGTTTGATGAGGACGTCCCATTTTGGACTGTATGCTCCAAAGATGTCATGGTGCTTTATCACACAATAGAGAGCAAACTGGGACCAGTAGTGTCTCCCAGGCTGTGGGTACAGTTCAGCGGTAAAAGGCCTTGCTGCTTAGCATGTGGGAGGCCTCAAGCTTGATTCTTGGTCCCCACACAAATCAAAGCAGGGCAAAGCGAAGCAGCCACCCCCCACCCCACCCCCAACCTTAACAGGGTCGTGCTTAAGAATGGCCAAGTTCTTTGATCATGTGAACAACTGCACCTTTGGGCTGTCTCTGGAAAATCCTGGTGACCTGCTATTGCGTAGCTTCAGGTGGGCTTCATTGTAAAGGTCACAATAACGTCACCCAAGGAGCATGCCCAGAGCAAGGCTGACTAAAGAGAATGGAAGTAACATGATTCTGCTTCTAGGGTGGTTCCAGTCAAGGCCCTGGGAGGACCGCAATGCCACATTCTTCCCATAGAAACACCAGGAGAGGGACTGATTTTGCAAACGACAGACAGGGCACATCGAAAAAATGAAAACATGAAACATTTGCTGCTGCTTTAGAAAATGCCACAGGTGTATTTGGTTTTGGGTGTCGGCTCACATTAGCTCTTGAATCTTCGATTCCAGCTTGTTAACGTCAGCTCCGTGAAATTCAAAAATCTGTTTCAGATACATAAAGGCACAAAAATGTTTATCGATTCAAGCGCCGCAAAGACACCAAAGTGTCGAGGAGTTTTGTGTCTGCAAAACTGTTTCTCATTTCCATAATTTTTAAGGCACTTCAAGTATAAACACACATTAATCGGATTACGTTCATGACCTTTCATCATTTGTCAAAAGATCGGGTGCATTCAGGTGGTGTGGCCGTAGACAATGTGCTAGCTTTCAAGATGGGTGACACGAATACTTCTCCGGGTCTCTGTAATTCTTCTTGATGTATTGCCTAAAACATGTGACTGTACCAGAGATGAAGAAGCCCAGTCCTTGAAATTAGAGCTTCTTACGTATTGGCTTGTTCATTTATATACACAGCTTTCTAAAACCGAGTCTTTCTGTGACTTCTGCCCAGGTCATGGTTGTATAACCATGTATAACAGGTACCTGCTCTTCACATTTCCCCCAACCCAGGGTATACTTTATAATGGATGGTATATTTTAATTGCAACATTTTTTTAGTAGCATATAAAATAACGGGTTCTCTCTCTTTCTCTTTGAGACATGTCTTAGGTAGCCAAGACTGGCCATAAAGTCCAGTCCCGAGCCTCCTGCCTCCACCCACGAAATGCTAGGATTACAGGCATACGGCAAACATGCCCCCTGTTGGAACACCTTTTAAATGGTTCTCTTACGTTTGGCGTGGAGAGATAGCCCAGCTGTTGAAGGGCTCAGTACACAGCATGAGGTGTAGAGTTGGATCCCCTAGAGCCCAACTAAAGAGTAAGGTGTGGTGGGGTGTGTGTGTATGATGACAGTCTCAGAGCAGGGGAGGTGGAGGTGGATAATCCCTAGGCTTTGATGGCCAGTCGGTCTAGATAATTGGTAATCTCCAATGAGAGACCCAAACCAAGAACACTGAGGTTGTCCTCTGGCTTCCAGAGGACACTCGCACACACTCACATGAACACACAAAATAAGCCCATGGCAGTTATTAAAATAAGGACGTCAACCTGCCCTTTAAGCCCACCACCAAGTCAATACTAGGTGTGGTAGCTATTTGGATCTAGGGAAGAACGTGAATGAGCCGAGGCGAGGATCTCCTGAAGACTTGCGCTTCCGGTAAGGAAGTTTTTAAGCCAAGAATGTGTTAGGGCTTTAGAGTAGGGGTTGGAAAACTCCAGAACAAACCTCCGTGCTCAGTGTGCTGCAGGGAAGTAGCTGTCCCCACACCTCTTGTTCCTGCTTCCCCCGCTCGGCAGCATCCCCTCCGGGTCTGTCATTTTATTCACTCCATGAATGCCAACCCCAGGTGTGGGTCATTTCCATATCTTGGTCTCATTTCTCTTACCTTCCAGGCCTCCATTCCACTTCCGAGACAGCACAATGTTCTTTTGAGTCTTGAGAATAGAGAGACCTATGTGTGGGTGCAGAATTTCATGGTTTATCTGAGTTGCCGGTCTGTAGTTCATCTCCCTATAAATAGTTCTCCTGACTTTTGGCCAGGAGAGGAAGGTATCAAAAGGGATCTGCCTTTTCAGCGCTGGGGAAAGCCAAGTCTGCAAAAAAATGTCTGCCTTGCATACACCAAGTCCTAGCTTTGAGGCCCAGCACCTCATAAGCCAACTGTGGTGGTGTACGCCTGTAACCCCAGCACCTAGGAGGTGAAGAAGGCAGGAGGATCCAAAGTTCAAGGCTGTCCTGAGCTTCATGGTGAATTTGGGGGTCAGCCTAGGCTGCATTAGACCTTGTTTTGGGGAGTGGGGTGGGAGTTCCTCCTGATATTAGGATGGCAACCAGAGGGTGGGTCTGGGGCATGAAGGGGGTTTCACTCTTGGGACTTAAAAGCCAGAGCTGGAATGAATGCAGGATGTGGGAGGTTTTGGAGTCCACTTTAGTCTCTGTTTTTCCCATGGGAACCGCCAGGGCGGGAATCACTATACAAGAGCAGCGGCTCCCATTTAATCTTCATTTGAATTTTATGTCCAAGGATACGCCTAAATCTTTATCTTTCCTCCTGCAGTTGGAGGTCCGAGGGAGACCGTCTGAGGCAAGCAGGGCATCCACAGAGAAGAAGGGATGTGTCTGTTCCCACGATCATACCATGTATGTAATTCTAGATGGACCTCTGGATTCCCAAGTCTCTGTTGGAAGATATTTCCCTTCTCTCTTTAGAGATATACCCGATAGATCATGTTTTGTCTCCTTTATTTCAGCCTACTTCCTACTTCAAAGGACAGTGTCAACTCAAAAAAAAAAAAAAAAAGGAGGTGGGTTCCTCTGGAGAGAATTCTCTATCTGGAAAAAAGCTCTATCTCATAGTGGGATGGTGTAAGCTATGAAGTGCAAAAAAAAAGAAAATAATAAATAAATAAAACGGGGCACAGCTCTGGAGAGGGATGGTTCCCATGATTATGGGGTTATGAGATTCCTACTGTACAGGCACCAGGAGCAATGAGAACCATGGCTACTGTGGAGTCTGACATCTTTCTAGAGATAATATTGAATGCGCCACAGGGGACTGTCACCCACCCAGTTAGAGGAGCCAGAACTGCACACAATCCCGTAGCTTCTAAGCAAAAACCTTAGGAAATTATTATGAAGGGATCACATTGTATATCCGCACCCAGACGCCATGTCTACCCCTCACATCATGTGCTATGCTCAGAAGCAACCTCAATTCCCAGTTCTTCACAATGGGTTGCTTTTGCATAGTTTTGAACTGCACAAGTCTACAGACAGCATTTTTTTTAAAAAAACTTTTTTGTATCTTATATGTATTGGTGTTTTGCCTTCATGTATGCCTGTGTGAGGGTGTTGGATCTCCTGGAACAGGAGTTACAGACGGTTGTGAGTTGCCATGGGGGTGCTGGGAATTGAACCCAGGTCCTCTGGGAAGAGCAGCCAGTGCTTATAACCACTGAAGATTATCTCCAGCCCTCCAGACTGTAGTCTATGTCTGGCTTTCTTTCTTTTTTTTTTTTAACTCAGTATCATGTTCACAGTATTTCTCTGTTCAGCAGTCTGTATGTGTTTCAGTGTTCCTTCGCATGAATGGAACATAATTTACCCACTTGGGCTGCGGGGAATGATGCTTCTGGGAATACCCTTGTCTATGTATTTGGGGGCTGCATGTAAGACTTCATCCTGGTTGTACACCTAAAGAATGGAATTATGGGATTAAACTTTAATAGAAGTCCTCTCTCTATTTCTCTCTGTCTCTGTTTCTCCCACTCCTCTCCCCCTCCCCTCCCCTCCCCTCCCCTCCCCTTCCCCTCCCTTCTCCCCTCCTCTCAGAAAGAATCTCATGTAATGCAGGCTGGTCTTCCCCGTACAATACACCCAAGGATAACCATGAATTGCAGTATGCACAGCCGCATTCAGTTTATACCATCCTGAGATCTAACCCAGGGCCAGCTGGGCAAGCATTCTACCAGCTAAATTGCAACAGCAGTCCCAGAAACTAGCTGCCCCCACAAAGGATGAGTGTTCTAGTTGCTCCACGTCCTTGACAACAATTGGTATCACCAGTTTTTGTTACGTAAGACATCCCGGTGGCTTCAGTGTGACATTACCTTTGTTTCCTGACTGGCCCCTTTTAGGCAATAGTGATAGCAACACAACTTTCTCTGTATTCAGTTCTGTGCCTTCTATGTCCCCCTCCTCCCATCAATCGCAAAACCACAAGTGTGCGTGTGACACCCTTTCCAAGCTTCTTCAGTGTCCTCTGCGACATCCAGTCTCCTAACGACATCTTAATTGTGTCTCCTCCACCTCAACAACCTTCCTCACACGAGAGAACTTGCTTACTTAAAACAAAACAAAACAAAAAAACCCCAGGAATTGAGGACCCCTTGTCTGAAGTGGTTGGCTGGGAGCATTTCAGATTTGGGGATATTTGAAAGTAAATAGTGAGCTATCTTGGGAATGGGGTTCAAATCTAGCCCAAACTTTGCTTATGTTTCACCTGTTTTATAACCCGAAGCCTGCTCTAGTTTCCTTTATGTTGCTATGGTAAGACACTCTTACCAAAAGCAATGTAGAGGAACGTAGGGTTTATTTCATCTACTGGTTCCCAGGTCACAATCCACCACCGAGGTCTCTGGATCACTTCCTGGTTCATGCTTAGCTAGCTTTAGGCAGCCCAGGATCACTGACTGAGGAACGGCGCCCCAATCTTAGACTGCATACTCCTATACCAACCATGATCAAGATAGCCCTCCTCACAGACCAAGGTAGGCAGTTCCTCAGTTGCTGTTCCCTTCCTAAGATGATTCTAGCCTGTGTCGTGTTACCAAGGTAGTAGCCTTGTAACAGTGCTGTTTCTAGTTTTTATTCACAAAACTGAGTCGATGAGCATTGGAACATCAGTCTTACAGCCTCATGCTGGTACGACGGAGTATCAGATTTTGGAACGCCTCTGACTTTGGATGTTTGGGTTATGGATGTTCCCATGGCTTTCTTTTAGAAACTGCACTTAATGGGTGCCTAGGGTGGGCTAGGGCGCTGTGAGTAAGACAGATGAAATCTCCTAGGAGCTCACATGCTAATAATAATTTCAAGCCATTGGTATGTAAGTATGGAAATTATTCCGGGGACACACCCCATGTTACACTATCACTCTCTGCTTCTCCTCGTCCAGGCCTGTCCCTCCCAGATGATGGTCACCTCATGAAGCCTTCTGAAACATTTTCTTCACTGTCCTATGGCTCTCTCGACTTCCCACAGGGACATAACTGATTTTGTCACCAGCCTGCCCATAGCTCAAGGATGGAGACTATATATATTTTTTTTTTCAGCACATTTTTAGTGTCTATTTTGGAGCTCTCACACAAATTAGATTTTATTGGAATGAGTTATTTATTGGTCGTTGAAGAGTGAGTTCAAGACACTGGGTTGTGTTAAATTTCAGGAATTAAGCGTCGCTCCCTCTTTCCCGTAATTAGTGTTAGCCGTCAGCATGACAGAATCTAGAATCACCTGGAGATTGGCTTGCGGGCACGCCTGTGAGGGTTACTTTGATTATGTCAGTTGAGGTCTGAAGATCCATTCACTGTAGATGGCACCATTTGCTGGGATTCTGGACTGTTTTGATGGGGATGGCCTTCTGTATGCTGTGAATATGTTTTTCTTATGGGTTGGTGAATGAAGCTTTTTTGGCCAATGGACAGGCAGGAAACCCGAACAGGGATAGAGGAAGGATATAGGCAGAGTTGGAGAATTGCCATGTAGCTGCCGAGGAGGCAGGATCCCCGGGCATGACCAGTAAGCGAAGGCCACGTGGAGATACACAGACTAATAGAAATGGGGTTAATAATAGGAAAGAGCTAGCCAGTAAGAAGCCTAAGCCAATGGCCAAAAAGTTATAAACAGCTATTAAGTCTCAGAATGGTTATTTCATAGCGGCTACAGGGACCTGATTGGGTGGCAAGAAACTGGTCCAGTGGGACTAGACCAGACAGAGAAAATCTCCCAACACTGTGTAAGTGAAGCAGTGTCCACTGTAGTCCCTTTCTGACCTCAGATGTAGAGTGGGCAGCCACTGTCAGCTCGTGGTGCCTTGACTTCCCCGCTGTGATGGGGTATGCCTTGAATTGCAAGCAAACACAAATCCTTTTTCTCTTAAGCTGATTTTCTCAGGGTATTTTTTGCCAGTGTCAGGACAGTAACTAAGACACCCTCTTTCCTGCCAGCCTTTCCTTTTCTTCCTTCCTTCTGCTTTCCTTTATTACGCTGGAGAACGGAACCCAGGGTCTTCCCACGTGCTGGGCAGGAGCTCTGGCACCAAGCCACACCCTGGGCACTGGCTTCTTTCTTTGTCTAGCCAACCAAACATCAACATTGAGCTTCGTGTCCCTGTCTAGTGCTGAGCTTTGATTCTGGGAACTGAGTAAGCGGACAGGATACACGAGGAAATGATACCCACCAGAGCTCATTCCACAAGTGGCCTTGCTAACAGGAGCTCTGCAACTGTCCCGGGATGTCACCGGGGATTGGAGGAACACCAAAGTCCTCCAGAGTGCATGCCTAGAAACCCAAGCCTGTGTTCTCGCAATCTTTAAATCCTCTCTAGATTTATCAAAAATATCTGCAAAAAAAAATTTACACTGAAAATGTACAAACTACTTATACAGCATTTATATTGTACTGGCTGTTATAAACAATCTGATGCTGTGTTGTGTCTCTCAAAGGCTTAGACCAGAAGCATCAGGAAAAGAGTTTACAGCTCTCCTACTGTCTCCTTTATTTTAAAAGTTTCTCCCCCACTCCCTGCTTTGAGATAAGGCCTCACTATGCACTCCTACACCACTTTGAGATAGGATCTCACTATCTTCTCCTCCCACCCCACTTTGAGATCAGGCCTCACCATGCTTTCCAGGCTAGCCTTGACTTTGCAATTCTCCTGTCTCAGTCAAC